GGATGGATGGATGGATGGATGGATGGATGGATGGATGGATGGATGGATGGATGGGTGAATAAAAATATAGAATGATCAGAATGGGTTGATAAATGGAATGGAATGCATAAACAATTTGGATAAATAAACGAATTATGAATGAATGAATGAACGAGCACGAATTAATGGATCGGCAAATTTGATGAATGAAAGAATAAATAAATGAGCATTCGATTAATGGATAGGATAGATGGGTGGATGGAAAGATAGAAAGATCAGAAAACGTTTTATAAACCTTGAGAGAGAGAAAAAACAGCAAGGAATAAATGAATAATTAAAAAATAAATTAAAAGTCCCAAACCTAATCTGGCAATGGATGTCAGCGGGCCCACAACCGAAAAACTGAACTGATATAATGAACAGTATAGAAAAATTAAAGAAAAAAAAAGGTCGGATAAATAGTTTATATGAATAAAAGTCGAGTGAAATACAAGATCAGTGCTTCCGGCAAGTTCGTATGTATTCCTGTGTTCGTTTCTCTTCCTAATGTCGGCTATAGTCTTAATTTCGCGCTGAACGAACAACAGGACAATATTGACTGATGCACATGAATGAATGAAGAGGAGAAAAGCTTTTTGATGAACCAAACGCATCAAACGAAATTTCTTATTATTTTTACAATTTGCGGTTTGGACTGGGGAAAGAATGACTAAAATACTGAAAAGCATAATCTGAGTCCAAACGTTATAATGTTTGTATTTTGATATGAGAGAGTTTGAGATTTACGTTCACGGCAAACGTGAAACGTCAGTTGACCAGTTAAAAATTCTTTTAAATAGCTTAAAAAGAATCGCAAAAAAATCCAAGTAGTAGAAAAACAAAAGAGTATTTGCGCTTTTTGAGAAGGTTTGTAAAAGGTAAAGTAAAATAAAGGAAAACGATGAAAACGTGGTCACGTTTGCCGTTTGCGGAGAGAAAAAAGTCAATCTAAAACTCTATGATCTTTGAACTCACTTGGATGGTCACATATGCGAGAGATGTTGCTGAGTTCAAAGATTGCGTGTTTAGTAACACTGGTTAAATACTGTACAATCCTGGTTATAAGCTCTGTGCTGATACTCATTCGTAAGGGTTTTTTGATGGGGTTATAACTTATAACCTGGAGGGCTTATATTCGGGGGGGGGGGGGGGGGGGGGGGGGGGGGGGGCTTATAACCAGTATTTTACTTCATTGCCGGGTTGATTTAGACTTAAGAATATCCCCTCGAAAATCGATTTATACGGATCAAAACTTAAGCCGGTCGCTGTGTAAAGCAATCGAGAACTCGACCCAATAACAGACTCGTGTTTCTCGATACTTAGACCAGCCACTGAAAAATGCGACGTTTGACAAGTGTATCAAAGCAAGGATAGGATAGTTATTACGGGTATCGATTACCAAGTGTATTGACCTTAAACTTATTTCTTGAAGTAACAACTTAGTTTGAAGTACAAGTCCTTCTAAGAGTAAACATGTAAAGAGTGTGCCACTTAGGTCCACTTAGGATCTCAAGAGAGAGTCAAGTAGAAAGGCGCGACAGTAAACGCATAACTCAAGTATCTTATTTGGAATTCAAGCCATGTCTCAAATGTAAAATCTTTTTTACGTCGTTGGCTATAAAACGATGACTAGCTAGATGTCTCGCTGGCATCTAAAACGTATTAAAACGTATATTAAAACGTATTAAAAACGTTATTAAACGTTACTAAAACGTATCTTTTAAAGAAGCGTTTAATAAGAATTAATATTTTTATTATTTATTAATATTATTTATTATATTTGTTAATTGATTTTTATTGTAAATAGGCATTTCAGTCTCTTTTATTTAGATACCGATTATTTAAATATCTTTAAATTGTAAAGCGCTATTGATCTATTATTGTAAATAGGGCCATATAAGTAATAAATTATTATTATTACTATTATCTAGACATCTAATGATGGCAGGTTCCTTGTAATTATAGGAATCAAACCAATATTCCTTGCGCAATTAAACGTCCATTAATTCACCTCTACTGAACGTGCCCGATTTGTGTTTAAGGCTCCGACATTGTTTCAAATTAAAAAATTGTTTTCAAATAATACTATTTTCTGAATCTCTATTATATGACCTTTAAAACAATATATAGTTTCATGGGGTTTTGTTTAAAGTGTTGCGAAGAGAGAGTCTTAAACGAAACATACCCCTGAAGGTCTCCAGTAACCTTCGGCCACTACATCACTGATTATCTGTGAAATGAACGGTTTTATCAGACAGTTGTTAAGACTTCGAATGTTGGCAAAATTTATCACAAACATGAGCTAGCGGAATCTATCTAAAATGATTTTTATTCTTAAGCTGAATATGCTATAATTTTTCAATTTTCTTTATTAATGTTTTCAGACGAATGTATACGTTTTTACTTTTGCTTGGTCCGGCAAGTGCCGTCAGTGTTAATGCTGCTACATTTGCCATCCCATTTCTGCTTTGAACATTTTGCATGATTAGAACGATAATGGTTTGAGTTCGTGGGGATCAATTTAATTCCATATTCTCTTCGTCTCTCTCGTAAATGATTATTTTCGAAGCAGTATCACACATGGAATGTTCATCAATGATCAATCATGGCGAGTGCCAGAGAACACTATTCTTCTCTACTTCTCATTTTTCTTTAAAAGCACTCTCTTCGCCTCTTTTGTAAATAATATTTCGAAGCAGAATCATATGAAAGATTCTTATCAATGATGAACTTAGGAAGAAGGCACTGAAGTATCCTGACATTATTCTTCTCTACTTCTCATTTTTCTTTAAAAGCACTCTCTTCGCCTCTTTTGTAAATAATATTTCGAAGCAGAATCATATGAAAGATTTTTATCACTGATGAACTTAGGAAGAAGGCACTGAAGAGGACACTAGTCTTCTATACTTCTCATTTTTCTTTATGAGCACTCTCTTCGCCTCTTTCGTGATTAAATTTCGAGGCAGGACAACTATAAAGATTTTCTTATCAATGATGAACTTAGGAAGAAGGCACTGAAGAGGACACTAGTCTTCTCTACTTCTCATTGTTTCTTTATGACCACTTTTCTTTATGAAGAAAACTATACGCTACCAGGATGGTTGGTTTTAATGGGTCTTTGTGGGATTAGCATGGAAAACCGCACGATCACGAGTACAATTCGGAATTTAATATAGGTACGAGTGATGTTTTGAAAGTTTTCAAAATTGCCTTTTAATAAATTGTACGAGAAGATTGTGCGAGTTTTTGTTTTTAATACACTCCCAAAAAAAATTTGGGATTTAATTGTACTCCTCTTGTCCAATCAGAATCGAGTATTTTCTTTGAGTCGGTATTATAAAGGATTAAAACTAAAACGAAGATTAAGGATTGGGGATGGAGAATTTTTCTGAAAACAAAAAATTCAGAATCTGTAAACACGAAAAAGCGACTTCTTGTCAGGCCCTAAAATGTTATCTGAGTTCGGCAAGACATCGAATAATCTCAGTGTCGGCAAACTTGGTCTTAGAGACTCAGTTATAAACTAGGAATAATTCAGTTTTGTAATAAGTATCGTTTACTGTGTCATTTTATTGGATTATCGGGGTTAGTCATTGGTCGCGAGTTTCAGTTTTGACGAGAGAACTCCGGCGCTGGTCTCACGAAACGCTCTTTTTAGACTTTGAAGGTCAAGGAAAAGGCGGATTATCTCTAACTGATATTTTTCTCCTAGCACAATCTATTTTTATTTGCGTACTTGTTCGAAGACCTCGACCATTTGTAATTTGTTAAGAGGGCAATTTGATAAAAGGAAATGTATATCTGTACCCCAATGCCCTCGGGGGGAAATGTTGATGGCAAAGTAATTTGTTTTTCATCTTGAATCACTTTGCAAAAAGAGTGCTCCGGATTCCAGAGTCAACGAAACCATCTTAGATCTTTAAATAGCCCGTGTGATAAATGAAGTTTTTCTTTATTCAAAGATAACGACTTTCTGTGTTTTTTTTTCTTTTTTTTCCTGATACATGATAATTGTCTAAAATATTGAAAAGCGTTGATAGAATTGGTGCAGTAGTCAATGCAGCGCCATCAGCAAATAGTTTGTTATGGCGCGCGTCATGCGTTATTGGAACGTCTTGCATTCATGTTGACTCCCGCACTTATTTATGCGTTCTTCTCAGCTCGAAATTGAAAGATCGTTTTTATAAATATGTCCATCTGCCTCATTGAAGTCAAAGCAAGCTGAGCAAATGTAAATATTGAGTGGAGATACTTTGGGAATTCGCCGGTTAGAGTCAAATTTACCGCTACAATTGGATATGCGACTGTTGGGGAATTTCTTTCAACGTAGCCGCTAAACATGGAAATTCAAAAAGGCTAGATTCATGACATCATCTGCCAATTGAAATGACGGAATAATCAGTTCATTCCTATATGTGCCAAAATACCGATGGTAAGGCGCGTTAAGAGGCGCTTTTTGCAAACTTGGCCATGTTGGGTTTCCGTCAGGAATGGACATGTTATGTCCAGTGACTTGACGCGATGCGCTCGAAAAACGTCGATAAGCTGGCACCCCGAAACCACTTGACAAAAAAGTCATATAAAGTCATAAGCTTTTAAACACCTACTTAGAAGTGTACACAAATCAGTCATTTGAAACCTATCCTTGCGGATTACCAACTACTTTGTACCCTTAATCGACCAAAAGCTTACTAGTGAAATGCTCATACGCTTAGCCCATATTTTAGCAAAGGATTGAAGACTTTAACCGACAAACAAAAACGGAACTTGAAATACTTTAATCTTAGCTGAGCGCTAAAAGCGTTATCAACCCAATTCTTTGTCTTGGTAGGTTTAATCTTTTAAAGAACACATTTTCTTACATACCAGTTTTTCGTTTTGAGAGCCAAGACTTTCGATACAGTGTCCTTGCTTGAGAGCACTTGACGAAACAGCTCCGTAGATTGTTAGACACGACTCGTCTGGAAGTACAGTCCTATGTGTAAGAGAGTATAAAGACAATGCGTATCAGATCGAACAGGATCCACGGGACATCAGGTTTTTATTTCCCCTAACACGTATGGTTTACTAGCTCGTGTTGATTATCGGTCTCGAGACCCAAGGCGCCATGCAAATGTAATCTCCGATCAAAACGCATAAACAAATGTTCATCAAGCGTTTGTTATTGTCGCTCAATCTGCCCTTTTTAAAACATCTCCCTCTTAACATGAGTTTAAGACAATCTTTCGCAAAGGAGCTGAAGTTATCAGTCAAGATAATTTGGCTTATTTTAGCAACAAGGGTGAAAGAAAATGAGCATGTGTTGTGATGCACTACTGTAAGGTACAGACGTGCTGTAAGCCATGTGTGAGGTATATGACAACTAGGGCCAACGTGTAATACGTATCAGCTGTTCAGAAAGATCACAGCACTGAGACAAACAAACTGTTGGTCACTAATTGATTTACAGCATGCTATAGACGGAAATCATAATGGCGGGTCAATTCTCTACCAGCGCTTCGGCTCTGTCACGGAATGTTTAGTTGGGTTTCCTGTGTCGCCTTCCCTAGGCATTTCGGAAGTTCTGATCGGAACTTCTATTGCGTGCGAATTGTTATTCGAAAACGCATTCCTTTTTTTACCTCTATCTCTCTAAAAAAATTGTTGAGCAAAGGGACGACCAAAGGTCAAGATGCCTCTTGATCTACATCCCCTTGGGGAGGGTCAGGGGAGGGAACGAAGGTGTATTGTGACGTAATAACTAGGTAGAGATGATATCATGTACTGGTTCGACAATTAACGAAGATAAATGTTACTGATTGAGGAATTAACGATTCAAGTACTCATTAACTAAGATTTTTATTGCTGATCACGATGGCTTTGGACATATCTTGTATCAAGACACTTCAATTTGGTTCCTGAACAAATAACCTTGAATATATTAAATACAAGACATTATTCCAATATTTTTCATGACGTTAATCATAACGAAGCAGCTAGACTCAGGTGACGGGCGAAAGGAAGTTTGGCGTGGGCGCAAAACATTAAATCAAAAATATTAATTTTTTTCATACCCTGAAACAACCTCTAGGCTGATCTAAAACAGGGCACGGCCAACTCACAGATCAAACCTTGAAACAACCACTGGGCTGATCTAAGACAGGGCACGGCCAACTCACAGATCAAACCTTGAAACAACAACTGGGCTGATCTAAGACAGGGCATGGCTAATTCAAAGATTGAACCCTGAAACAACCACTGGGCTGATCTAAGACAGGGCATGGCTAATTCACAGAACGTATTAGATATCGTCTAAAGTTTTGAGCAGGCAGGAAAGCCGCCAGAGAAAACCCTTCAATCAAGGGAGAGACCTAACAACTCTCTAGTCATATAATGTAATATATATATTAAATGTAAGCCAAGGATATAATAAAGGTAAGACCCCAGGGGTCTGTATAAATAGGAATTTCTAAAATGCTTTAATTAAACTTTGCCATATTTGTATTGCGTACATTTATGCCCTGCGCCATATCACGTGATCAAATTAAACCAACCTGGTATATGATAACATGCATATGTTGGTTTTTGTCGGTCGAATGCCACATGTTGGTACATCTTTAAAACATCTTTGTCTAGTCCATAAAATGCAAACTCGAGATTACATTTTATCGTATAATAATGATGTAAGTCAACTATCGGTGGCTCCTGACAGACCAACACTAAGATAAGTAACACGCAATACACACAGGAAAGCGTTTGGATCTGATAATTAATCAGAACCGTACGTAGCCGTCACTTTGAATCAAGCCTAAAGAAACCTTTATATTTCAATATAAGAAAAGGGTCTTCGAGAGGTTTTCATGAAAATAGCACTAGTAACCCCATAGGTCTCGGTTACGATGGGTGGTCCGTCGCAATGTCCAGACTGCACAATCAAAATGACGTTAAAATAGTAAAGTGATCAGTCCGTACGGTAAATGGATAGTAAGTCTGGTCTTCGATCGTTTCGTGCTCTTAGTACAATACGTAGTTTAGCGTAGGGGTTACCTTTCCTTGACCAAAAGCCTTTCAAACGTCTCCCACTTTTGAGGTCCTGAGAATCTGCCTTTGGAACGGTGTCTACCTTGTTAAAGAGTCCACTAGCGACCAACTTATTATATTTATTATCTTTGAGCACACTTTTACCCTCGGGGGCTAAAACCTATTTGATCAAGAATATAATAGCAATTGTACTGACAAAGCTAAGCAAAACGCTCAAGTCCACTTGCATGAAGCTGTCACTCCTAATTAAACACGGCGGGATTCGTCAGCTCTCGTCAAAATTTTTGATTCATTTTCGGCTTCTCAAAGGCGAAATGAGCTAAATTTCAAGTATTTTTATCAAATAAATATATACAAATTTGTACTTAGAACTTTGTTTTGATTTAGTTATATATTATTGAATTCAAAGCGCTAGTAGTTTGCTTGGTCATTCCCAGCAGGAGCTAGAAGTTTAATAAAAATTTCCTTTACAAAACTGCTTTTTTAATTACACCTAAATGAACAGCAAATAACGTTTAGCACAACAGTATTCAGAAAACCTCGACAGGTAATGAAAATTCCCAGCAAACAATAAAAATGTGAGTACAGTTTTAATTAGTGTGAGCGAAAACAATCAGACCAAAATCCTCAAAGTGAATCGTTTTGTCAACAGGATTGATTGTTTTGATAACATTTTCAATGAGAATGCAAATACCTGTTATCACACGGCTTGTTATGGATGATAGCTATTCTCTTCATAACCGATCTGTATTCTCTATTTTAAGCTCTGTCCATTGTATCTTTTTAGCATTCTATTCTGTTTAGAAGAGCCTTTTTAGCCCGGAGCTTAATTCATGGTCGTTGATTTTTAACTAACAAGCTAGTGCGAATTTTTTTTCCCAGAGCAAACCTGAGCAAAAATAACTTATTTCTGAAGAGTTGCTTTGGGATTTTGTAAATACATGATGTGCAATCGAGAGAAGTCGAATCTTTAAGGATAGACAGAGATAGTGTCGCTTCACTTGGTATGAATGTTTTTGTGCGTTAACTTTTGCTGAAAAATAAATGTTCGATTTCAGTTTTGACCCCAATGGCAGTTAAGTTACCAGAAAATTTGCAAAGGTAATTTCAAATTGCACCACCTGCAGCTAAGCAACGAGGAAAGACACCGTAGCCATGGTAACACTGTAAACGTTTAAAGAATTCGTAACAATTAGTTAAATCGTCGTATACAGTTATTTCAAAAAAGGTTGAAAGGGCGTAGGGCTAATAGCGATCCGGTGATGATTGTTGGGGATTGAACAACCGAGAGGGACTGTGGGCACACACTGATCTAAACACGAATAATCGAGCTGTCGTCGACTAAAAATAACATCATTATCATTTGAGCTATTTTTTTCGTCGTTTTGGTTGGCTGAGATAACTGCCTACAACTAATATTCTCACTCATGCGCATTACGCATGCGCAAATAATAGTCTGCTCATGCGCATTAACATAACTTCATTTGTCAATATGGCTGGCTTCCCTGTGACTTGGTATGCTTGATAGGCAGCAAAAACAAGCAAATCACAAAAAGAAAACGGGGGAAAAAACGATTTGAATGATGAAACTATCCTTAGACTTGGTTGTGTCAAAATAATATCGCGATTTGTTAGTATTTAGATCTCGCAAGCAATTATTTGCCCATACCTTAGGCATCAGCAAATATGTGCTCGCTCGCCACTAATCGTGATATTTTGCCCTACCTTGTCCAATGTTGCTTATTCTTAGTGCCTTTGACATCAGCAAATAATGGCTTACCACTAACAGATCGCGATATTTTGCTCAACCTCGTCCCAAATAACTTGCTTAATATGTAAAAAATAACACCCTTGTATTGACAAGAACAACTCGAAACACCAGTCATTCCAGCTATTCTGATCTTGGATCTTGGAATGACCTATCTCCTATCGCTTATCGCCGATTGGCTTATTACCTAACGTCGTTCGCCTAGCCTGCGAACCGGGTCTTCGGTATGGGGGGATTGGGGAGAAGGTGAGATTTTAGATCGAAGCTTGATCGAAGCAGTTTTCTTTGATAACTTTTTTATTCAAGCTCGAGTGCAAGTTCTGACCTTTTTCCAGGCCCTAGAAAAGTGTGGTCCATTGATCTGGGCATTAGCTCTGAATCTCCAGACACGGTGTCTTGGTGTCCAAATCCATAAAATTGCCATTAACGGTGGTCATTAACGACGTCATTAGTTCGTATTCTCGACCCCAGACCCTTCTCGGCGACTGAACCCGGGAAAACCCCGAATGAATTTGCAGGTGCAAAACAATGGTGGCCATGTTGGATGGCTATAAGCTTGGGCAGAAAAACATTTAACAATCATTTATATTACATCATATAGTTATCGTCGGTTATACTAACATAGAGATCCTTCGATAGCTCAGTTGGCAGAGCGGGGGACTGTAGAAGATCCAAAGATATCCCTAGGTCGCTGGTTCAAATCCGGCTCGAAGGATTTTTTTCCTTTTGCTGCAACACCACTGTTTATTTTCAATGTTTGCTGAATCAGTTGGGTCACAACCAATAATATATCGTCGACGTTAACTTACTGAACCCTTATTTTCAAAGATATTGGCAATAAGAATAAAAACTATAGAATATCTTCTTTACCTCAGTGTGTACCACATGGGTGGGGCACTGACTCATGGTTGAAAATGCAGTTTTCTTGCTGAATGGCCAATTAGCACGAAATTTTAGTATATCGTCGACGTTCAAGGATAGTAGCAATAAGAATTGTTTATTGCTGAATGGTCAAGAAGCACCCTGTACATGTCTAAGCATTCTTGCTATTGCTTTACAACACATACTCGGGCAATTCTTTATATAGATCCTTCGATAGCTCAGTTGGCAGAGCGGGGGACTGTAGAAGATCCAAAGATATCCCTAGGTCGCTGGTTCAAATCCGGCTCGAAGGATTTTTTAATTTTTTTTATATATTATATGAAGCGTATCATTAATATCTGAATGTTAACGCTATTGATGGTTTTCACGGCGGCCATGTTGGAGGAACTAAACAAAAGAATTGTCAATGAGTCCTTTTGTTATATCCTCCAACATGGCCGCCGTGTCTTTTGTTATTTAATTCTCTTGGGAATGGTTGAAAACCATCAGTAAGGTGTTTTTCTTGCCAAAACTTTCTTTGAATCGTGGATTTATCTCGGACTCATTATGAACATTCTAACTGGCTTCCAGTTCCTGTTGATAGATGGTACTGAGTAATTTGGTTTCTTTGTATTACACTGTGTGTGGTATACTCGCAAGAGTATCAGGCTCAAATCTAACAAGTTAAAACTCAACCTTTTTTAACACCTTGAACAATTATGCACATGTATCTATCATTACAAGCTCACCGTTCGTTACCCTTCGATGCAAAGGCACGGCTAACTTTCAAGATGGCGCAGGGAACTGTGAAGGGGACTGTCATGATATTGGAATTGAAAGTCTTTTTTATCGCTTAGGATTTTATTTGCTACTAAATCCATCTGATACATCATCTCTGCATTATTTAACTAGTTTTAATTGATGTTTCCAGCTAGCATAGTCAACATAGCTAAAAAATTAACTTTGGCAGTATTGTTGCACGATGCTAAACCTGCCTTCAGGAACACGTTGCTTTGTAACTAGAAATATCTAGCCTGCGTAGTGGCCCCAAAATTGAAGGGGGAAGGGGGGAGGGAAGGGAATATTGCTTATTTGAGTTTTATGACCTTTGTCCACCCTGGGTGCGTTCCTCCTTCTTCATATCGAAACTGCTGTAAATTTTTTGAACACCCTTCATTTCCTGGAAACAAATTAATCGTCGCCCCTACGCCGCCAATACCTGTTGCCAGAATATCTTGCAGTTCTGCCACTTTTTTCTGGTGCATTTCAGAATTTACTTGAACATTGTTTCCAATCGCTGCAAATCCCCCCACTATACCGCCATTACGTAGAATACAACAGCCAGCCGTCCACATGGAATTAGGGATGACTATGTTATCCCATCTGGTCGGGTTATTATGCGGGAAATAGGTTAGGGGGTCCGGTTGCTTCGGAAATCCATGTGCTGTAAGTACAGCTTCTGAAGTTCCTGTCAAGAGATAGAGGTCCCCACCAGCTGGATAACAAACACTGGCTGCAAACAACCTCACTCTGTCTTCATAGACTTTCCATGGACCCTCGTTGAATGATTTATATTGAGGTACAGCGTTGGTGTACTTGAACGTGGACACCATATAAATGCAATCAAAGGAGTAGGTACTCGCTGGTACCAAGTGGCCTTTTTGGATGTTTTGAGTGTTGTCTTTATACATCTGATTGCTTCCCTGTCGGAAATTATCGAGACCTAGAAGAACGAAGGACAAAAAATGTCTGCTTTACATACAAAAGTAGTAGTAGTAGCAGTTCTGGTACTGGTACTGGTACTGGTACTGGTACTGGTACTGGTACTGGTACT